CAGCGACTTTCGAGAGGTCCTCCCTCCTTTCATCGCCCACGCGAAATAAAGGTAACGGAGCCTGATTTTCGAGATGAAACGCCCCGAAATCGAAGACTTCCCCGAAACACATCCGACCTCGTACGACTTCCGCGATCGTCACAGACTCCGTTCACGTCGATCGTTTCTCCTCTCTCGACCTCAGACCGTGCCCGTCGACATGCGCTGGTCATGTCGGCCCATCGCGTGGCCCATCCCGACTCCTGCTCATCCTGTCTTTTTATCTATTTATTTTTTTCTCTCTTGTTCCCGACGGTGAAATTTGAGTACGTTTCGTGACCATCCTCTGCGAATAACCCATTTGCCTCTCTCTTGCTCTTCGTTGAATAGTTGAGCCTGTCCAGCGGATCACGGTGCAAATCTTGACCGAGTGCAAATTCGGACTGAGTCCAAATTCGTAATAGGTGAGTGGAACAGAAATACTTTTTTTTCCCGTTTCGTCAGTGTTGAACGCGTGATTTCGAGCGTGTTGGCCTGGGATTCCAGGCTTCCAGCCTTGAAAATGAGATCAGGTCTTCTCTTCTTCAGGCATCATTAGCAAATGTGATTATTGAAAAAAAAAAAAGGGATAAAATAAAAGGTCTAAATACTTTTTTTTTGGTTCAGCTCGGGTTAAGAGGATTCTCAGGGGGTATTTAAATAAATAAAAATGTCCTAAAGATATAGATTTTGATGGAGTATCTGAGGGATTATCTAAGGGAATGAGCGGGTCAAAAGACAGCCGAGACCATCAGGACCATGGAAGAAGAAGATCCGAGTGGATCTTCTGGGTTCTGGACTGGATACAGAATGCAAATCGGAGTGGGTTTTTCATTTGTTCGTATCTTCAAGCGGAAATCGCCGAGAAGATTGATTGCCGTGGGAAAAATGGGGGGAGAAAAAAAAGGGGGGAGGAATTGGGAGCGAGTGAACCGACCCGACGGTTCCCATCCGTTTCAGGCGTTCTCTTCGGCATGTCCTGGTTCTGCTTCCCGCTGCGGGGGCTCGCGCAGAGAGGGCGAAAGCGGGGGACCGCCGCGGAGGAGTCCGCCGCGGGGGGAGGCGAGGGGGAGGCGACGCTGGGGGTGGAGGATCTCAGGAAGATCCTGGACCGGGACAAGAGGAGGTGGAGGAAGGAGGAGGCGGGGAAGGTGGACCGGGAGAAGCGACTGCTGCTGGGGAAGGTGGCGAAGGCGAGGCTCGAGTGGCTCCTCGTCCACGAGGAGGGTCGGAGGAAGCAGGCGTTCGCGCGCTTTCAGTTGGGGTGCCTGGACGACATGGAGGGAGAGATCCTGGCGCGCGGCGACACCGTCGAGGCGCATCCCGATCGGCATCGCGGAAACAAGATGGAAACGTTGGGGTCCGCGTCGGAGGGGCGGAGCGGAGCGGTGGGGCACGGCGGAACGGTCGGTCGCGGAGCATCCACGGGTCGCGGAGCATCCACGGGTCGCGGAGCATCCACGGGTCGCGGAGCATCCACGGGTCGCGGAGCGTCGACGGATCACGTCGGGACGACAGGACGAGGCAGTGTGGCCTTCATGCGTCCTTGGCGCTTCCGCGCAACGAATCGGGCCGAGGCCATCCCCATGCCTTGGCGGGAGGGCTTCCCGCCGCCCTACTCCCTCACCACAGACCAGCCTCCCCCCTGATTCGCGTTTCAACGAGCTCCGGTAAATTTTTAGCTTCTCTGGAGACATTCAAAAGGAAAGATCTCCCCCCCTCCACAAAATGCGATCGAAATTAACGTGGCAAATCCGATTCCCGACGTGGATCCGCCTCGATGTCCAAAAGTCCATCCGTCGACGAAGGCTTCGATGAAACAAAATTTTCCTGTGGCGACGCTGTTGGAAGTAAAGAAAGTTCCTGCGTTGAGTCCGGTATGGATTCGCTTCTTCGATCTGCAGCTTCGCAGGATCTCGAATGGATCCGTCGTGGAGAATCCCACATCGCCGACTTAAAAACATGTTTCCGTCAAAAAAAAAACCAAAAAAATTTAATAATAACAATAATTTAATTTGATGCGAGTAATTAGGCACTCGTAACCAACAACCAAGTACGAAAAAACACGTGATAATACGTGGTGGACAAACGAAAAAACACGTGAAAGGCGAGGTCAATAATCGTGATAGTTTAAAAAAAACATGGGTCACAGAGACCCCATGGTACCAGAGCAGGGTTACTCTAAGGGAAACTTGAACAAATGGAGCTCATTTCTGCTCTTATTCGAGGAATTAGGGAACGAACACACTGGCATCTCAATGCAAAGTAGGAGGAACGGGGCCCTCAGCATGGACTAAAGTTGGCTCCATCACAGCTTATCATTGTGCCCTGAGACATGGTAAATATACCTGGACTGGACATGGCAGTGGAAGATCTCACGCCGATTTGAAGGGCTGGCGGCCATTAATGTTAGCGTCAAGGAGAGGATGAGGCATGGGATTCACTG